GTTAACATCAAACGCAAGTTGCGGGGGTTCACGGTGAAATTCATCATGCTCGTACAAAAAGATTGCTTCGTGCGCGGCATTAGTGCATACCTCGGGCGGTGAGGCTGCATACACCGGAAAGTCGAGATCGGAACTGGAAGCATCCTGAGGTTGCTGTGCAGATTCAGACTGTTCGTCTGAAGGTGTCCCTATATCATACTGTTCTGGCGCATTCACGGGCACACCGTCCTCAAGTTGCCTAAGAAGCCTCCTCTTCTCAACCTGCTCCGTGACATCACGAAGAAGTGGAAGTGACGGCTCATGTATCCCTCCAATATTCGGGACATCGTTGACAGTCACACGGAGCGTCGCAACTGCCTCCTGATCTGCGGTGAAGAATTGAACGAAAGCAATGCAAGCGGGCTCTTTCGAACAAAGGCGCTCAAAATTGACACTCTGAGTGCCCGGAATGAAGGCGTGAAACCATTCATTTTGTTTATGTTGAACCCACCATACTAAAAGGCTTTCGTCACACACTACGCCTGGCAAGGAGTTCACGTTACAACCGAAGCGCATAGAGACCACTCCGTTGAAATGCAAGTTGCAGGCTGCCAGGTGCAGACCAGCGATCAGCTCACGTGGATACTTAGAATTTGCTTCCAACGCGCGCCATTTTCCATTTTGCTGAAACCAGCCTACTCTTACGGCCATCCGGTCGTGAGACTCTGCGGCATCACGAATGACTGACACGGGTGAGTTGGCAGGTTCTTTGCTCAAGAACACAGAAAACATTAATGATCGCCTTATGTCTTGGACCCTACATAGCAGAACTTTGCCCTGAAACCTAACATTCACCTGTCCCTCAGACAACTGTGTTAAGTCACAAACGACACAAGGACCCAACCAACCACTTATATCCTTCGTGGTCCCTTTTCTGAAGATATCTACTTGATCCCCGATGGATAGCTCCAACAGTTCACCAGAAGGTCGGGTCTTTGTGCGATCTGCTCTCATCAGCTTTGCCTCTGCCGTTGCTTGAACCATAGCCTGTATGGCCCTGCTCCTCAAAGCATCTGCATTGGCATCGCTAACTGATTGTCCACTTTCGGCAGTGAGAACGTCGTACAGTGGAGGAACTCTCCCGTACAAAGCTTGATAAGGCGTCATGTTTCCAACTCTGAACAAGGCATTTTTTGCAAAGACGCTTTCTGCTAAAATCGAATCAAAGCTTATCCGAATACCATCAGATAAGGTCTGATCCTTCAGTAGGTGCACCTGACGCCGCAAGATTTCTTGGTGTCGTTCAACTACGTTTGCATGAGCATACTTTGCTTTGGGAATGAGCTCTATATCCCGTGCGCTCAACCATGCGGCGGCATCTGGGGAACTCCAGCCTCCCTCCTGATCAGCAACTATCCTGGACGGTGGACCATACAAACCTACCCAGAATTTTTGCAGTGCCGACAGGATGTCATCAGATTCTTTAGTGGGTATGACATGAGCTACTGTGAACCGAGTACATACATCAATCATGTGCAATATCGTTTTACGCTCGATGAACAGTAGATCGATTTGTATCTCCTCGTTGAAACCGACTGGTAGTCGGGTTGAAACTGCAGCACTTGGCCCAGGACGGGCCCATGCACGACACACGGTGCAAGTGTCGACGATTTGCGGTATGAGCGCAAGAACCTTGGCATCTACACCGGCTGCGGCTAATAACGCTTTCATTTTTGCACTACTGCAATGATACCAACGGATGTGAAGCTTACGCAACGTTCTGCGAACTATAGCATCCCGCACGCTCCGAAGCATTTGCAATGCATGGCCAAGGTCAAAGCGTGACCAACCACCGTCCTCTTCAGGCATGTCGGCTTGTACTGCCACCCCACCGTCAGACGCTTCAACTTCTGCTGACCCTCTGGCTCGCGACACTGGCGGCGCAGCAGCATCAGCAGCAGCAACAGCACTAGGACCTGCACCACCTGCAACAACCTGAGAAGCAGCATCACGCCTGGCAGGACCTGAAGCACCTGAGCGATCACGGCTACTCCTTGAAGGCTCTGCAACCTCGCCTTCACCAATTCTGGCTGCAGCAGTGGGCTCACGTGCTGCGGCAACTCTTGGGTCACGAGGATGTTGACCCGTGCGCTCACGCACAGCTCCCTCGGGCATAACGCGTGATGTTGCCCATTGACAAGTGTCATCGAGTGTATGTTCTACGTGTGTTCTGGGCCTACCGTTTACACATCCCTTACAGTCCCAACACTTAGGCTCTACATGTGGGTATCGGCAATCACCCACCCGAGTGTGAACTGGATCATCTTTGCGCTTATGCCATCGGCATCCGGGGCATTCCAAGTGACGGGTGTCTGCGGATGACGCGGCATCATTGCCCGAAGGATACATGGACACATAGACACCTGTAGCGAGATCTGCAATTCCGACGGTGATCATTTCACAAAGTTTGCGCGGCCAGATTTGTGCAAGAGAAGGCGTAGACAATTGGCGCGAGCGTTCTGAAACATGCAGAATGCTTGCACAGCGAATGTGTAGACACTGCTTGTTTTGCAACCTGGCAATCAAGAACTGGTGTGAAGCCCACATTTCCGTCGGCCTGCACATTGGATGATGAGGAAATGTAGGCGTGTGCAGTCCCACCGCGCACTGGTCAAACGTCACTTTGCAAGTAGGATATTTATTGGCAATTTCATGCCAGTCCCGTGTCAAAAGAAAGTCGCTACCTTTAGGCTGCTCAATCAAGTAATGTCTTTGAGACATGATCTGTATTTCAGCTGCCTTGGCGAAGACCTTTGCTAGCTGTGATACCTGCCATCTACAATCACTAGAAGCTTGGGGCCTTACAACCTTATTCAACTGACTAGTGGGAAGTAGGGAACTGCCGTAAGGAGACATCACTACTACCAACGGTTTCTTTTCGGTGATGTAATGAAGCATCATACTCACATCGCGCGGCTCAAGAAAGTTAAAAGTTCTCGTCAACTCGTAGTTGGATGCGGATTTTACACCCAGGAACCTTGAGAGCATGTGGTATGTACGTCCTTCGCCTCGGAAAAGCTCCACAATGTGGACACTGTTGCCTTGTTGCAGCTCACGTGCGATTTGTGAATCAACACAATCCGTAGGAGATCCCGCCTGAAAGTTCCGTGCTTTGAAGTCAACCATATACGAATACATCTCCAACAATGTACAAAACGGGATTCTGTCCAAGGATGATTGTTTGACTGATCCCAACAACGCCTCCGCCCAACCTGTGCATTCAACATCGGGGAGGATGGAATCCAAACAATCACCGAGATCATCACTGTGCTGTTCCACGCGCTTAACTTTGACTTTAGGCTTGTGTCCTGACTTGAGCATTTCCTTGTAACGAAGGGCTCCTTCAGTGGGAAAGCTGTGCGAACATGAACCTTCGTGGTGCGCGAGTGTTGGCTCGAAAACATGAGTGGAAACTGCATCCACCACCTGGTCCGACTGGAAAGTGCTGGTGCGCTTTTGTCCACATGGAAAACCTAGGCTTTGAAGCATGTTTTTGAGGTCGTCACCCACTTCACAAATCGCCTGATTATTGTAGAGAGCGATGGTGACACGATGACCAGTCCAATCTTCAGTACAATGCAATGACTTGGGATTGAAACCGATCATGCGGTGCTTGCAGGACAACACTCGTCCTACCAGTTCTCTGCCGTCATCAAGCTGTTTGTGGACTAAAACTTTGGAGCTAGCAGTTTGCAGCTCAGAACCACTAAGCTCTATCCAAACCCCGCCTCCTTTATAATTACCCAAACCTATGAGCTGATTTTGTGAAGAAGTGAGATTTCGACTATCGCGATGTGGTCGAACCTGCACGTTGTCATTCAAGGCGAAACTTGTCCAAGGCGGTTGACCCTGGTGATGCTTACAAAAGGAATTCAAGTACTTAACAAGCTCTTGATTGTCAATGGTGCGATTCGTTATACCTATGTAAGAACCGTGCTTATACAACCCGAAGACATAAACCGAAGAACCATCAGTCTTCGAAGTGCGCGAGGCTGCACGCGGGTTGGCACTGCCACTGAGCTTACATAGGGATAAGATTCGCAGACATGTTTGGAAGTCAAACTGGGCATCAAGTCTAGCACGCTTTGCATGATTTTCAGATTCTGTATTGAGAAGAGATACCAACATCCCTTCACGATACGACGGCTCAAACGACAAGGATGCCGTATGCGGTGTGTAAATAGACTCGGGTTGCGTGTGCATAGGGGCTGCAACACCAAGCTCAAGCGTTCTGCAGCGTGTCATCAACTGAGGGTCGACGACATTCACGTCTGTTTTGCTTAGTGGGGCATTAGCTACGTCCAAAGGCTGCTCAGCAAGCTCAGGTGCGCAGTCAGCTGCTTGCAGCAGCGTCCAAATGATACTTCGAAGCACCAAGCTGTAGCGAGCCTCACTTTCGTGGTGCGACATGCTTCTCATATGGATATGACGCATTTCCACAGGACATTTGCAACAAAAATCGGCTGACAATCCAACGTTGGCGGCAATGCGCACAAGACTGTTGCAAGGAGTACAACTCACACAAGGTGTCTCATGACTGCACCAAGCGTGGTCCGTTACTTGCAATCTTTCAACAAAGCGGTGAATGCTGCGAAGATTCCAAGCCAAATTTCGGGAACTAGCCTCCATCACGACCAATCGACCTGCTTGTTGCTGCCTTTCAGCAATGGCACACAAGTGTTCTGCGCGCAATGTGTCATGTTTGTTACCCGAACCACAGTTAGGACCCCCTAGCCTTATCCATAAAACCGAAGGAGAATCCACATCCAGTTTATCTAAAAGGTAGCGAACATGACCCTTACTGTGCAAATCATGTTGGTAATGCGTAGTACGGTAGCCCAAGGCCTGAAACACCGATTGTCTGGTTCCTACTTGGTCATTAAAGACCCAAGCAGTCTTCAAACAGGTTGATGGCTCACACGGCTTCGAGATTCGATGAGCCCGCTCAGGAACTGCAGGACTCACCTGCGGGAATCCTGGCTCGACACTCGTCTTGATGCAGACTTCTGGGTGTCTGCGTGGGTGCGGTGGTGCATGAAATCCAAGACATGTGCCTCACTCAAGCCACGATTGGGAGCAACCGGCAGTATCAAGTGACCAGAAGGACTCAACTCCAACTTCAACGCGACAGTGCCAGGCGGATACTCATGCTTCAAACCTCCAGGACCTGGCAACACAAGCAACTGCTGTCCGCAATCCACAACAGCATTCATGCGTCGAAGACTCTTGAGACCCAGCAAGGGAGGAAGGTCACTTCCCTCGATGACAGGTGCAGTAAAGGCACACTTGACGCTGTCTCCCGTGATCTCATCATGCACCGACAAATCAACACGATGTGTGACGTCAGTGGATTGTCCTCCTGACCCCACACCTGCAACAGACAAGGTCTTTGACAGTGTGCCCTGACTGGCGGTCGTAGCACATTGCTCAGCAAGCAACTGCGAAGTATTGCCACCGATCAAGTTGTCATGAGCACCGGGATCAACAAGCAAGCCAACTTTACCAGCAATCCTTGTACGCAGGTGATACATACCTGCACAAGCAGTTTGAGCCATGCTCTCGAATGATTCCATCTCCCACCAAGGAAACAGCAGTGACGACAACTGCAACGTTGCTTGACGCCTCTCGGCTGAGCTCTTTGCCCTGGCTTCTGCACCTGAGCCTGATGCGTTCACGCCTTGAGCAAGATGACTTGTGGAAGCAACGCTCGGCACATGAGTGGGAGGAGGACACTTTGGCACCCTTGCTCCTGGGATCAAGGTTTCAAGCGCGGATCCAACCTGCGACACCGAATCATCAGGTCTGACAGTCGACGGCATTCCAGGTTCCCATGAAGGCGGCTGACGGGATGGGCTGTCTGACTCAGGTTGCGAGTCCTTCTTACGCTTGTTTCTTGACGCGAAAGACGACACCTGACTCAGAGCCTCAAGCTCAGCTTCAAAGCCAGTCTGTGTGCTCATCTCACTCCGTGCCGAAGTGAAAGCCGCAAACGAAACACTAGGCAGCAGTCTACTGGCCATCCCGGAATCAAGCCCGTCATCAAGAGCAGTCTCATGAGCATCATGGGCTTGAATGGTGTGCAGGGTGAGCGCTGGCTGTGCATTCGGAGTGGCAAAGTGTGCGTCGGCAGCACTGTGGCCACCTTGACTCTGCACCACTTGCGGGCAGCGCCGCCACAAATGTTCGGTTGACCCGCACTTGCTACACTTAAGCGGTCGACCGTCTCTACCACGTGGGTTGCCTCGACCCTTGCCTGAAGCCTTGCCTGCGAAACCAGTCTTACCCTTGGGCTTGCCTTTCCCTCCGGCGAAGGCATTAGCGGGGAGAAAAGATGCGAAGGAGGATGAATAGGGAGTACGACTACCTTTGCCATATGCTCGGGGCCTATTTGGGAACTTCCGGTAGCGACGTGGGGGCCTGTTTGAGAAACGCCTCCATCTACGCTTCGCGATCAGGTAATCCATGTAGAGCCTTTCGCCTACAGCTTCGTCGTCGGACCTCCATTGCCCATCAACTTCAACATGTGCGTAAGCCTGAGCGCCCTCATCCGGCTCTTCGTCGTCGGTGTCTGTTGCGGACGATACATCGTCGTCATCGAAGTAAACCCCACAAGTAGAGCAACGAACCTCTGAAGAACCCTGAACCTGATCCCACGCACTCCAGCCATCGGTTGGAGCACCTCTGGCATGATACACAGGCGTTGTGGGATCTGCGGCGTGGAAAGCTGTGGATCCTGCGGAATCTGATGGAATCCAGGGCTGCTGAAGCCCTCCCCGCATGTTTGATTCTGCATCGTTGTTGTTGTTGCAGAAGGTGGGAAAGTAGTATGCTCCCGTGTCACCAGTCGCGCCTTGATGACCGGTGGGACGAAACCGACCTTCAAACAAATGACCCTGCCGTCGGATCCTGGCCATCAACTCAACGAGTTGAATTTCGTTCTGAGGCAGCTGTCCGTTATTGGGGCCTAGTAGTCTATCCATCAACTCAGGGGGAAGATTCATAGCCCTGAAAAGTATCCAACTGAGACCAGTAGCATTTAGACCCAGGCCACCACGTTGTGCTGCCCTGTTCCGAAGAACGTCGAAACGAACTAGAAGACTATCGGTTGTTTCACCCGGTATTCGGGCGAATTGCAAGAACTCTGATACTGCTCTGGTAGAGACCTCATTCTCAAGTGGGGCATATCTCTGTATCAGAGTCCTCACAAGCACCATCAACCCAGTGATGTTCTGTCCAGTCTGTGGGTCTTGAATTCCGTGCGCCAGCTGCTCAGGCGTGAGTTCGCGAACCAGGTCTCTGGCACTACCGTTGACTTGTAAAGCCGCGATAGGACCGAGACGGTGTGGCTCCAGGTCTGTCGCAGAACTCCAAAGAATCAAGTCGCTGACCCACGACCGGAGGCTATAGTGGTCTGCCCGTTCAATGCTCCATGCAGGAGGCACCTTCAACGTAGCGGTTCCGATGAACGGTGGTCCTGCATCGCCCACATGGGCACTTGTTCTTGGGGCTGAGCCACGCATTCCACCAGGCATCATGTACATCACAGCCGACAGAATCGCGAAGATGAGCACACCGATCTTAAACCAGAGCCGGCCGGGCGCTTCATGCCCATGCTTGACTTTGGACCTTGAGGATTTCAATCGTCGTCGCTCACTTTTGCGTCCCGTCTGCTGCAAAGACCTTCGATGCAGGTTCTTATCCTGTGCACGCCGAAACACTCCCAGCGGTTTGATGAAGTGGGAATAGTCTCGAGTGCGATTGGCCTCGGAATGCGAACGATTCGACTGGATATGTATGGACACCATATCCGCAGCAGGACCATGTTTGATGGACTTGTTGCGCCGTGCGTCCGCCCAAGCTCCAAAATCCTTTGGCATCCACTCGAGAAACATCCGCAAGGATTTCCCGACTGCATGCTTCGGACTCAGGAGCGTGAACGAACCACTCGTTGGCAACGGCGAGCTCGTAGAGGCATTTGGTGTGAGTCCCACACCTGCCTTTTCATCCACCAGAGACTCCGGTCGATTCGACGGGCTCTCTTGGGTGTTCGACATGTCCTGTTGCACTGCATTCGAATTCTCGGAAGTCTGCAACCAATCATTCGGCTGGTAACTGTAGGCGTGAGTGCGCTTGGGCTCGAACTTTGCAGTCTGATGGTCTGCGAAGTTCCAAAGAGCAAGGAAGGCAGCAAAGAAGCTGATCATCATTGCCAACCATTGCATCTTTCGGCAACAGGAGCTTCGAGGTCCCATCGTACCCGATAGCTCCGCTACCAAGTTCAGGTAGCACTTCCTGCTCGAATGCTCATTGATACTCAATCGCACATCTGATGCAGAAGCTCGTTCCACATTTTCCATGGCCGATACGGGCATGATCTGATGCACTACAGTTCCTCGCGAAGTAGGTTTACACAGTCCAGCAACGTGGTGGCCAGCGAGTAACTAGCCTCAACTTGACTCCGAATTAAGAATGATGCGAACCTAAGGGTACACTAATTAAGGACAGCGATATGCCTCGAGGCTGAGATTGCGAGCATCAGCGATGCAAGATCTTGCACGCACATCACAGCAGGGCATCAAACCTCTGAACTGAAAGTTGGAATATGGTTTCAGGGTAGGATACCTTATTATTTACCATAAAGGGTTTAGGGTAATCATATTCCAACTTTCTGGCTTTTACTTTAAACCCTAAACCGAAAGACCCGCAGGGCCGGTCGTCCTGCCAGCATCGGCTGTGGTTCCCCCAGCAGCAGGCATCAGCGCTGAAGCCTGACGAAGGGGGAAGGTCTCGCGGGGTTTTGCAGGGGCATAGGGTTTAGGGGCTTAGGTTTCATAGTGTCGTTTAAGTTTTATCAGGGGTCATGGGGTTTACAGAGGGGTTCAAGCTTTATAGTGTCGTTTAGGTTTCACAGGGTGTCAAATGGAGTTTTACGGAGTGCTCTTCAGGGCCTTATAGAGGCCTTTTTTGGGTGGCTTGCTTTACTAGGTTACCCAGTAATAACCTAAGAATAAAAGGCCTCTCTTTTTGGTATTGGGTAACTTTATAAGGAACCTAGGAGCTACAAAAAGGGAATAAGGGTACTACTGGGCATCCTAGTTTACAGGGTGTTCAAGAGGACCTTGAAAGTTTCGGTCGACGGGCTGGGCTTGAAAGATTCAGGCCTGGCCGGTCCAAGGGGGCAAGGGGCTTTTAGGGGCTTAGGGGTTAGGGGTTTAGGGTTTAGGGTTTAGGGTTTAGGGCTTAGGGGTTGTGGGGTTCGGGAGATTTGGGGGTTTTGGGCTTCGGGGTTTAGGGGCTGAGGGGGTTCTGGGGTTCAGGGGATTTGTGGGTTTAGGGTTTACGAGTTTAGGGGTTCAAGGGCTTATAACTTTGCTTCAACAAAATTACTTGAACCCTAACCCGAAAGCCTCCCAACCTAAACCCCAAAGTCCCAAAGCCTAAGCTTCAGTTGGCAACTCGTTCACGTGCCGGGGGAGTTGGGGTGCTGTTGTACAATGATCCATCTATGGCCAAAGCACATCCTGACTAGGCCTTCATACTACTTTGAAGCTTAAATTAAACGTTTGTGACAACCTCAGGGATACGTGGCTAGTCGGCCGACTTCTTAACCCCTCCTAAAAGTTAAACTTCTAGCCTACTTATGCTAGTTCATGTAGAAACCCAAACAGTTTATGCCCCAAGAGCCAACCAGAAGAAACCCTGCACCGCCGGCGCATGTTTGGAATGCTTCGCAACCGGCTTTTTCGCGCAGTCTCTTTGGGCTGCGCTCTATGGAAGTTTCCGAAATTAGGGGACCCTAATATAGTACCCTAAATAGTAGGACCAAAATAATGTACCCCTAGCCCTAAACCCTAAACCCAGATCCCCCTAAGGAACCCTTAAAGAATCCCTCTAAAGGTACCCCGAATTTTCGCAAACCCCCCCTATGGAACACTATGGCAGCTGGCGAGCGCCTGAGCCCCAAAGCCCCAGGATGCTCAGACCATCGAGTTCTGTAGGGCTGTGCTGTAGGGTTTATAGGGTTTATAGGGTTTATAGGGTTTAGAGTTTAGGGTCTAGGGTAGGGTTTAGAATTCAGGGTTGAGGATTTAGGTTTTAGGGGGATTCTGCAGCAACTCTACATGGCTAGAAAGATCTAGAAAGGATTAGCCTGAGCTGTACCGCCTTGTTGTAGCTTTGTCAGAGCCCTCGTTTGCAACCTAGTATAGCGAGCCTGCTAATCAACATGGGGTCGCTGCGTATATTCTAGTAAAAGTGATTCTAGTATGTATGCTACGGGACTATGAGGGGGTGTCGTTGGGATCCTGGGGCGAAGGGCTCAAGGTGGAAAGGATCACAGCTTGGCCGACAACTCATCGTCTGCGAGGATGCAGCTTGAAGCAACGCGCCGATACACCTAGGGTCAGGGGTTTGAACGGTATACGGGGCGCTGGCATAATCGCTACTTCCCACTACAAGGCATATACAGAGCAAGATTACCTGCAGAGCAGAGGCTTAGAGGAGCCAAACAGCAAGAACTAATGTAGGGTTCCTTATATGAATCCTACTATTTTGGGGGTTATAGGCCCAGGGTTTCTTACTCAGGTTCCTACATTACGCCTCAAACCCTTCTTGCCCCAAGTGGATACACTCCCCCGGAAAAAATCCAAAAAGTAGATCCCTTCATGGGGGTTCCTATAAAGTACCCTAATTAGTATAGGGCCCCATATTAGGGGATCTACTTTCTAGATCCTAAACCCTAAACCCTCAAACCCCAAACCCTAAAGGATCCCTTAAAGGAGCCCTTAAAGGAACCCTACTACTTGGAGGGTCGGGGGACTTAGTAACTGATTATGTTTTTGACTTATAAGTACCGTGACCCCAATTAGGGTCCCTTTTAGGGTACTTATAAGTCCACTTACCACCTACTTACTAAGTCCCTAAACCCCTCAGCCCTAAACCCTACAGTACCCCTATATAGCCCTTTAAAGGAACCCTTAGAATCCCCTTTAAAGGAGCCCCCTACTTACTAAGTCCCCTAAAGACCCTCCAAGTAGGATTTAGGATCCGCCCGTCTGGGAAGATCCAGGGGCTTGGGGTATTGGGGAGGCGAGGTTCGGTGCTTTCAGGGCTTTGAGGGTTTGGGGCTTAAGAGTTTAGGTTCAAACCCCACAGTTAGGGTTTAGGGTTTAGGGTTTAGGGTTTAGGGTTTCGGGTTTCGGGTTTAGGATTTAGGGTTTCGGGTTTGGGGTTTCGGGTTTGGGGTTTATTAGGTTAGGTCTAATAAATGCTAAACTCCAAATGTAAGTAGCCCCCGCCACCCCGGTCTCATATCCCACTCTCTTACAGTGATTGTTAAGGGATCGGGTGCTGAATCGGAGTTGGAATCAGGGTCTAGATTTTGGGGCACCCTAGACCCCAAACCCTGACCCCTAAGTACTAAACCCTGAACCCTAAACCTTAAACCCATAAGTCCTAAACCATCCTAAACCCTAAACCCCTAAACCCTGACCAGAAAACCAAGTCCAACATAAGGCCTTAGAACGTTTCTGGCGCAGGGTAGATTCTATGTACGGAGATCGCCGGCCAATAGTATGGCCGATAACACAAATCCTGCACTATTCATGATAAGGGTTGGAGATTTTTTAGTGAGGGGGGACGGTGGTGCACCTCGTGCGAGGGTGACTTACTTTCTTCTAATTTGCAAAGGGACGCAGTCTTTTTGCATAACACATTAGCACTTGCGGCCTCGTAGAATGTGGCCATCGTTTGGATGGCAATGCCCACCATCTCCACTCGTCGTCATCATTCGCTGCAGGGGTGGAGCGGGAGCGAAAGACGGAGACGATCCTAAACCCTAAACCCTATTATGTGGGACAGCATCACATCGAGAGTGACTAGAGCCTCGCTACAGCCCCAGCCCTGAACTGGGTTCTTGTCAACGGATTTAACTCAACCCACTATAACAAGGAAGAAACCATATGATTTACTATAGATCCTTACTATGGTGACCAAAATTAAATCCCTTAACAAGAACCAGTACAGCCCGAAAGTCCAAACCCCAACACCCCTGAACCCTTCAACCGTCAACCATTGAACCTGAACCCCGAAGCCTAAACCCACAGACGCGGAACTCGCAGAACCCAAACCATCAAGCCTTAATGTAAGGGCTGCTTGAAATGATGCTTACCTACTCATGAACCATACTGCAAGGCTAGTTGTTATTAGATATTAAGACACCTTCTTACTAGTAAGGTTTGAAACCACGACGCCCGAGAGGGAATGGCAGCCAAGAGGCGTGTGGGCTGGCAAACATGGCCTGGGAAGAGTTATATACCCCAAAATCCTAAACCCTAAACCCCTGCACCCTGAATTAAACCCTAAACCCCAAAACCGCAAACCTCTAAACCCTAAACCCCTGCACCCTGAATTAAACCCTAAACCGTCTAAATCCCGAACCTCTACACCCTAAACCCCAGGTGCGAAGCCATCAGGATCCTGAACCCAAAACCGCGGTTTAGGGTTTAGGGTTTAGGGTTTAGGGTTTAGGGTTCTCACGAACCCCACCTGATCCTGCATTGTCCTTTGAGTATCTGGTTCTTTCATTCGGCAGAATGTAGACTTCACAGAGAGGTTGAAGTTTTTCTCAAGCCAAACCCAGACAAAATGTAAATGAAAGCTTTACAAACTACAGTGTGGGAGCTCTGGCGATCAACTCAGAACACCCTTTGAATTGATCATGTCATCGGGGGTTCTGCAGCACACGAGGGAAACAGGGTCTGGGGTTTAGCGCTTGTTGAACCGTCGGGGCTTCATGCTGGAATTTGGGTTAACACAACAACCGCGGGGTCACCAGACGTTGGGGTCTTACAGACTACAGTAACTGTCTGGCGTGTGACCCTACTGCCCATAAACCTCCTACCTCCCCGACAGACATGCTATAGAACGCTTGCAAACAGCCTTCAAGCACTTCTGAAGATCGCGGTAAAGCCTCGTAAAGCCATGGAAAGCCGAAAAAAACAACTCAAGACTTTCTCAGACCCTAAAGCGCCTAGCGAAAAATGCGTGAAACGCTATACAACCTGCGCTGTTCCGAAAGATCCGCCCAGCCGCCGCACCGTGGAAGTTGCCTCACGCTCTCGGGGGTGTCGGGCATAGATCTTAAACCCCAAAAAAACCCTTGCGGTGTGCGGTTTAAGCTTGAGCCCTGAGAACCCTTTAAAGCCATTTTAAGCCTACATATGCGTTAACAAACCTGTGGTGTCGAGAAACATGTCAAAAAGCCAATAAAGCACCAACAACTTCCAACACACCACAAACCTGAAGGACCAAATGACCCTTAAAAGTAGGGGCCCTATACCCATATACTATGAATTCCTATAATGGTTAATGAACCTTAAACCCTTTTAGGGTTCATTTCGTCCTTAAGGAAGTTGAGTCTGAGGTTTAGGGGTCTTGGGATTTTAGACGTGAACTTGGATCGCGAGCACCGCAACTGTAGAGTTGAATAGTTGGATCCAAAAATATCTGATGATGTTCTTTGATGTGTCTCGGGATTTGTGTTTGGTTCCTTCTTTTGATTCTCTGAGGGTGCGAAGGATGCGGGTGGGTGCGGTGCGGGGGGTGCGGAGGGTGCAGGGGGTGTGGGGGCTGCAAGCTCGCTTCAGAATCACATCCTGCCTTCAAAAACAGAACGCATATAACCCCTGATACAGACACTGTGGTTGCAAGTGGGGGGGCGCTGCGCCCCCCCCCCCCCCCCCCCCGGCTCTCTTTTTTAGCCAGGCTGCGGCCCGTGACGAGTTGGGGGCGGGCTTAGCATATGTGCAGAGTCGGAGTTGTCCAATGAGGTGGCGGGATCATAGGTATTGATGAACTTGGATCGCCAAATTAGGGTGCCTGTTTAAGATAGCTGATGACGGGGCGTGTTTAAGATATGTGGACCCACGAGGCATGCGGGCTGCCCGCAGAGCAAGCAGCAGATTTGTGCCTGTGTGTTGGGCTGCAGTTGCATGTGTTGTTTCCCAGTTTCTTTGCTAAAGACCCGCAGTTATGACCTTGCCTGTGGTATGCTGTGTGGCCTAGGGGCCAGTCAGTAAGAGCGAGACTGGTTCGGCCTGGGTCCTTGGAGTTTTGGTTAGTAAGAGTGAGAACGCCAGAGCCTGCACTAAAGGCTGGCGACGGGCCGGGTGTACCGCAAAGCAGTGCCTTTAAGGGACACAAGAGTATCTAGGATACCCAGTAACCTAAGAATAAAAAGGCCTCTCTTTTTGGTATTGGGTAACTTTATAAGGAACCTAGGACAACAAAAAGGGAATAAGGGTACTACTGGGCATCCTAGGTATGGCGCCACCTTTGCCTTGGTAGGGTGAGCCACCCCGCTGAGGCATGCAAGAGTCGAAGAGCGCCGTAAACTGTACAGAAACCTTTTCTTGCAGGGGTTTAGGGTTTAGGGTTTAGGGTTTAGGGTTTAGGGTTTAGGGTTTAGGGTTTAGGGTTTAGGGTTTAGGGTTTAGGGTTTAGGGTTTAGGGTTGAGGGCTCCCCTCGCACTGTCCGCACCTGCATGACAGTTGAAAGGTTGGCCTAACTGGCTTGAGAACCGCTAAAACAAGAGGGTGAGTTGCTCCCCAGTCTTACGATCGTTTCCAGCCTTAGTGGGCTAGGTTTTGTACAGTGAAGTGATGAGCCGGGGAGTTGGGATTGTTGCTGGGGCTGGGTGCTGGTGTTGTTGCCGTTGCTGCTGCCGTTGCTCATGCCCTGTTGTTGCTGCTGCCGGTCGGCGGCGGCGCGTGTTTGCTTTGTGGTTTGTGCGCGTGTGGTTTTGTTTCTTTGCTGGAGCGGTGAATTCTTGGCGGAGGGAGGTTGCTGAGCCACGTAGGGGGTGGGGGATGGGGTTTTTGGGGGATCGTGGGCTGGGGGCTGCGAATTCTTGGGGGAGGGAGGTTGCTGAGCCAGGGGGTGGACCGTTTTAGCACTCTGGGTTTCTGCCACTGAGGTACTCATGGTCCCAGTGATGCTTTTTCAGTTTCGCGCCGAACTTCCGCTCGAGCTCTGCTCCCGAAGGGGCTACAGCCCGCGACATGTGCGCTTCGGAGCTTAAGATATGTCGTGAACCCGGATCGCCAAGAATGAGGGGACGTGCTTAAGATCTACGATGAGCCGGAATCGCCACAGAAAGGGGTTGTCTTAAAGAGGTATGATGAACCGGAATCGCCGCATGAGGGGGCGTGTTTAAGGTATATGATGAACCGGATTTGCCACATGAAGGGGTGTGTTCAAGATGTATGATCAATGATGAACCGGAATCGTCAAATCAGGGGGCGTGATCAAGAAACCTGATGAACCGGAATCGCAGCTGCGGCTTAAACAAGCTGGGCGGGAGGCTGACAAAGCAGCGCAAGACACGGGCAGGGAGTTTAGTATGTGCTAAGGATCGTCGATGGTGCTCACGCGCACACACAGATGTGTACTTAACCGACACTCTAGGTGGACTGTCGGTTGTCGTTGTTGCTGCTGTTGCTGTTGATGTTGCTATTGATGTTGGGGTTGCTGTCAAGCCTTATTGTTGTTGGTGCTGCTGTGTTGCTACTGTTGTTGATGATGATGTTGCTGTTGTTGCTATTGTTATCGCTATTGCTGTTGTTGAAAAGATATCTTAAACACCCCCCCTCATTTGGAGATTCCGGTTCATCACATACCTTAACTAACCCCCCTCATCTGGCGATTCCGGTTCATCATATATCTTCAACCAGCCGCCGCATTTGGCGATTCCGGTTTATCATACATGCTAAGCACACCCCCTTCCTTGTTGATTCCGGTTCATCATACCTCTTTAAGACAACCCCTTGATGTGGCGATTCCGGTTCATCATAGAGATCTTAAACATGCCCCCTCATTTTCGTCGATTCGGGTTCATCACATCTGCACATTTGGTGAACCCGCCCCCAACTTTTAACAATCAGCAGGAAGAAAGCAAAAAGCAAGCAAACAAAAGCAGTCAAGCAGCATGCAGAAAACAAAACATTAGAAAGCAAAAGCAAAAAAACAAAAAATTGCAAACACAGAAGAATAAAACAAACCAAAAGCAACCAGCAAGGAAAGCAGCAAGGTGCAGAAAGCGATAACTAAAGGCAAAACGCAACCGGCAACAAGCAAACAATAAGCAAGAGCTCCAAGCAAGGACAAGCAAGAGTACAAAGCAGCAGGCATAAAGCAGCAAGCAGAAAGCAGGAAATCACAAGCAGTCGAGCAGCAAGCAGAAAAAAAACAGCAGCAAAAACAAAAAAACAAACACAATTCCTGAAACAACGAAAATTTCACCAGATAATTCGGATTCCCCAATGAATTCCTGCGAAAGTCCTTCCCCCCATCCACATCGGTAAATAGATTTCGAAACCCCTAACCCCAAGCTCGGAGAGACTTTCACTTGAGGGCCTCCGACTCTCAAGAAATGTGGGTGCCAAGGGAACAGAAAGGCAGGAAAGTGGAACTGAGGGCTGTGCAGGATTTGACCAGGCTTTCACAAGGAGGTTCTGTTGGTTTTCAACTATAGGGTTGATTTGGAGGTTTTACTTACTTGCTTGCACCCCATCTGAACTAAACTTGCAACTGCATTCAACACTAGCCTTAACCCGAGACCCCAAGCCCGAAACCCAAAAACCGTCCAAGCCTAAGCCCAAAAGCCTAGGAATTCTGTGCGGTCTTGCGACATTGCTCCAGGGAGTTGGACCCAGTCTGCGCATGTCGATAATAGCGGCTAAAGACCTGGGTAAGGATACAAGTTCGGGGCTTGAGCTTTAGGGCGGGGAGTTTAGCGTATATGGTACTAAGCATTAGGTATCTGTAAACCGTAAGCTAACCCTCAGCGACAGCAGAAAACTGGGCGTGTCGCTGAGGCCCTTCACGAAAACCACCTTTAGCAACTTTAAGACAGGATATCTAGGCGGTGCGAAAACCCTCGTCGGATAATTAACAAATAGAATAGTGTTTCGGGGTATGATAACATACTACAGGAAGGAAAAGGAGCCCTGCAGAATAAGGTTGCTAATTGTCCAGATGCCTCATGTGACTATTTGGGGTAATATATCAAGGTCCTCTATTAAGAGACTCCAAAATCCCCTTATTAAGGAATATTCCTTCAATCACATTAGGGATCGTACTAGATTTAAGGTATATTAACGAAGGGATGTTGGAGTCTCTGGGTATAGAACCCTTAACCCTAAAACCTAACTTGCTTGGCCCCTGAAGCCACTGCCGAGTCGCCCAATCGCCTTTGGCGAAGACGTCCTCAGCTTCGACCCGGGTCTTTTGCTTTGCTTAAACGGGATTGGAGTTCGCTTCCATTCATGGTCGAAGGAGTCGAAGGCCAGGGGTTGGGGACTTAGGGTTTAGGTTTTCTTTTTTTTGGGGTGGGTTTAGGCTTTAGGGTTGAGGTTCCGCAGCAACCCCTTAATGAGAAGGCGATCCCTTCTCCGTCCTACTGTCCAGTTTTAGGAGACCGCAAGATGAAAAGGTTTAGGGTTTAGGGTTGAGGGTGTAGGATTTAGGGTTTAGGGTTTAGGTTCTAGCTTCCTCGCGATGCCTTTGCAACTGACTTCTTCAATGCCTCGTCCTTCCATCTGCATATCATTTAGGGTCGTTCACAGCTGTTTCTATTTGCCGTACTACGTAAGGGTCCTCTTACTTATGTCAATAGTCCATATCACTTCCCTGACTAGAAACCGTAAACATTCAGACCAGCAACACGGTAGGACCCTCAGGTATCCTGAGCCGGAACCCTGCGCTTTCCCTTGATATCCGAACAACGTTCCTAAGTAAGATCCTCTAAATAGGGGACCCCATGAATTCTCCCACTGGCCCCGGAAACCCGAACTACTTGGAGGATCATGGGACTTAGTAAATAGGTTATAAGTGGGGTTATAAGTCCTCTAAGTCGGGCTATCCTAAGCATAACCTACTTATAACCTTACTTACTAAGTCCCATGAGCCTCCAAGTACCCTCGTTTCAGCTCAGTTGCACTTTGGCAGCCTTTGTCGATATGATTGCAGTTCCACTCGCCTGTAAGATGTTGACAGCCTGAGCACACTTCAGGGCTTTTGAGCTCCAAGAGACTCCAATATCCCTTAACTGGGGAATACCTAGAATTCCTTTTAAAGGTTCCTTTAAAGGGATCTATAGGGTTTAGGGTTTAAGGGATTCGAATATCCCTGAAATAAGGAATATTCCTTACATCATACTAGAGATCCCACTATAATTACGGTATATTCCCTAATTAAGGGAGATTGGAGGCTTTTGAGCTGAAGGGCTCTTCAGGGTTTGGTGGGGCTTTCCGGTTGCAGCATTTGGGGCTTCGGGGTTGTGGTTTAGGGTTTAGGGTTTAGGGTTTAGGGTTTAGGGTTTAGGGTTTAGGGTTTAGGGTTTAGGGTTTAGGGTTTAGGGTTTAGGGCTGTAAGGATTGCATGAGCTACTGTCGAGATTACTCAATAAAACGCATGAGCTATCGTCAAGAGTACTCCAAAATCAAAAAAACTCTCCACGGGCATGGCTCTTTCAGGCAACCCAAACCCTACTTATAGACACAGAAGCCTATGTCCCTCCACACTATAGCGAGTCTTTTACCTATGACTTAAAACTGCGAGGCCTGAATGATTAGAAAAGGATTTGGGGTATGATGCAGTAGGACCACCTTTGGAGGATACGGGTATGATACTACTAAGTTATCAGGCATCTACATTGAACCGGCTACTCAGGTAGAGTGAGCCAATGGCACCAAAACTCCCGACAGCGAATTTCGGCGGTACTACGCCAAGCGTTGCGTATTCTTCATTCTGGCGAGTGCACCAGAACTTCCCGAGGTTCCTTAATGATGAAGCTCGTCCGGACGAAAACACCGCAATATAGGGGCTTGAGAAGTTAATAATACTGTTTTGAGGGTTCCTTGTCATTTTATAATCGTTAAGACTTACTTCAAACCCAGAGACCCCAATATCCCTTAATTAAGGAATATACCTTAAATTATAGTAGGATCCCTAATATGATTTAAGGTATATTCCTTAATTAAGGCATATTGGAGTCTCCGGGAACCCGTTCTTAGTTATCGCGGCCCCTTTGTCCCGTCCGGGGCTTCGTTTCCGCACGCGCGCGCGCACGTGGCTGTCAAAAACAATAGCTCCTCAGTCGCCTCACTTAAGGAGAAGATTTGGGGGGGTTCCGGGGTATACTTGGAGGATCATGGGACTTAGTAACTATACTTATAAGTCCCTTAATCGGGTTTATAAGCAATTATAAGTATAGTTACCCCACTAATAACCCTAGTTACTAAGTCCCATGATCCTTTAAGTAGGGTTCAAGGGTTTAGAGTTTAGGGTTTAGGCCAAGGATCTGGGCATGACAGTGACACGAAAATCCTGTACACGACCCCCCCCTTGCTGGAGTTTGGGGCTACCCGGAGTGCGCAAATGATAACAAGGTCCGGCCGAAACTGCTTGGCTGGACTTCTGAAAACGCAAAGCCGGCATTAATTCTAGTAATCCTCAGTTGTCCACTTGCCCACGAAGGTTCTCTTAAACTCTCCAAGGCTCCCAAGGTATCCCACCATTACTCGGCCGACTTCTGAACCTCTCCTAAAGGTTAAACTTTTGGCCTACTTGTTTCTGTTTTTGTTCATATAGAAATCCGAAAAAGTTAAAGTCCCTAGAGTCAACCAGAAGAACGCCAAGATTATACAGAACCAAGAGAACTATCTTTCAAGACCACCGTTGCTTTGAACGCAGTTCGATGGCATTTCTACTTGTCTAGTTTCCTGGCGAACTGAAGGGTAACCTTTCGGAGTATATTGAGATTTTATGGGAGTTTCCGAAAATTAGGGGTACCTAATTTTGGGTTCTTGTAATAAGGATCCTACTGTTTACGGTACTATTCTAGGGTCCCCGTTTTCGGAAACTCCCATATAGTAGTTATACCCCAAGAAATGTTAAATGCTACCCTCACTGGCCGAAAACCCAAGGAAATGGAAGTTGAAACTTGCAGAATCGACTCCCATATAAGAAGCCCAAAACTTGAAAAGTTGAGTTTACAGCCAATAAGTACCGACTCGACTAGGTCTCTTACTCTTACACCACGTTTCTTGCTAAGCCGAAGACCCCAGGCGATGGCCACCTGCGCGGCAGGGACGAAGGGCTGCTGGGGTCATGCTTTCATAGGTAGTATTATTAGGGAGACCCTTAAAGGGTACCCCCATCAGAACCCTACTTCTGGCTCTCTTAAAAGGGGCCTTATTGAGAGGGTCTATATCCCCGAGGGTCCCCCTAATCCTAACTCCCATCATGCTTTCAGCGGCAACGGCGGTACCGAAGATTCGCGAGCAGGGCACGGATTATGGGAGCCCAAAAGGGGGGATGAAGACTCTTGGGGTAGGGATTCCTTAATATGAACCCTATTATGGGAACCCTAATCCCTACTAAACCCCCATAGGCTAAAACCCCTTTTGGCCTCCCATGAACGGAAGGCGGCGCAGGCAACACGGCAGCAGCGAAGGCGGCGCAGGCAACACGGCAGCAGCCAGAGACTCCAATATCCCTTACTTAAGGAATATTCCTTAAATCATATTAGGGATCCTACTATAATTTAGGGTTTTTGGTTTGTCATCGCAGTGGTAATCGTAGTCATCACCATCGCTATCGTCGCCAGCACTCGAACTGGCAAGATCATCGTGATCGATGCCGTGGTATCATACATAAACATAAGCACCCATGAACGCTCCTGAAAACACCACGACGCAATTTCTGGAGTTGATTTCAGGTCCATGACATGAAGATTGTAAGAACACTAAACGGAAGAACTGTAAACGTTAACCGCCTCCACGTCTTGCGAGGAGGCATTGCGGTTCGAGATGCAGGCGGCGTACGGGCTGACCTTCCTTTGGGAAGCCATGTTCGGGGCTTAAGGTTTAGGGTTCTGGAAAGGTTATGTTGTGTTAGAGCAAATTCTTCGTCTGCGTTTTTGTCGGGGGTGAGGAGGGGGGTCAGAATTGTTCTATATACATGGATCCTGAGTGCACTCAAACCTGAAATTAGCTTGAAAGCCCTGCCCCGAAAGCCTGTAACACACGAAAGCCCTCTTGCTGCAAACCATCAAACCAAATGCTTTGCCTCGCGACCTCAACAGCCCTCGGTAGCTAGGCCAAGCCCACTTCAAATCGCGGGGTTTATTATGGTAGAGGGTTGAGGGCCCAATTTGGCACCCCACACTACATATGGAACGTCATTGAAGGGCACTTTCGGGCTCGGGATTTCGGGCTTGGGACTGGCGATTTCGGATCGCCGTCACCGTAAGCATGAAGCCATCGTCGATTTAGGCCTGGAATTAAACCTACAACCTGACCCCAAACGACTGTTTTAATGACTTTACTTTGTCGACATAGTGTCGGAGTGTCTATATAAAAGTTTAGCAGGCCCTTCGTTTACGCTAGAAATGGGGACCCTGCTCTGTAGACCCCGCGACTTAAGAACCCTCCACTACCCCCAACTCATGACCCAAATCCCAGACCGCAAATTTGAGTTGTTCTTGGAGCCCGCCGATTGAAAATTCGCCTCGGCCCCGCCGAATCGGTCAGAGGTTTTGACCCCACCCCCCCCCCTTAAAAATGGAAACGCGTCGATTAGCCCCAAGGTCCGGTGGTGAGTTCTCACCTCCTCCACTAGGTTTTGGCTGTCTGTAGGCAGTCCCACCCAATTTCCTCCCCGCCCCCCGCTCCCCCCTGCCCCCCTCCAGGCAAAGTTCGGAAATAGCGTTGCTTTGGGCAGCACAGCACGCGACTCCACGACCTAACCTTCTCATAGCATCGGAGATTCAAGCATCGCTATCGCCAGCTAGGGGCTATGTCGAATATCAGGCACAGAACGCGGAGATGCTACAATGGTCACATCAACCTCTTGCTGGCTTCTTGAGACAAGCCCTCTGCCTTACGCTGCTCTGCCCTGCTTTGCCCTGCCCTACAATTAATACAAGTGCGATTCCAACTGTTGTTATTTTCGTACAAGAGCTTCCTGCTGCGCCGGATGGTAGCCAGTCGCCGCATGCGCGAAAAGCCGGGCCGAGGCGGACGACGCGAAGCGTTTCAAATTATCTACTATTATGGTTCTCTACCATAAAAAAAGATCCCAAAGGACAGCCCAGAAATCTCCACCCCCCAAACCCCAACTCGTGTGCATCTCCAAGGTGCATCCAAGGGGACTGGTACATGTCTTTGACCTCGGAAGAGGAACCCAGGAACCCACAAACCCGCCGGTTTTAGGGTTTTAGGGGATGTACCCCATCCCCTCTATAACTTAAGGTGTTGTCCTTCACCAAAGGCTTTTGGAGTCTCTGGGAGGCGCCCCCGGAGCAAGAATCTCTGAAGCCACAAGCCTCTCCAAGGGTAAAAGGAGGGACCCTTAATAAGGGCCCCTAGGTATATACCCTTAATATAGCTGTTTTATACACATTATATGGTCCATTATAGGGTAGGGGTCCCCATGAAGGGTCCCTCCTTTTCCCCTTTGAGCCTCAAAGCCCTGGCAGGGGTTTGGAGTTTAGGGGTTCAGGGTTTAGGGATGTAGGGGTTTAAGGGTTTAGGGTAAGGGTTCCTTTAAGGGTCCCTTTAAAGGGCTCTGTAGGGATTTAGGGTTAAGCCCTCAACCCCTCAAGCCCAAAAACACCCGAATCCTAAATGCCTGGCACCCAGAGACTCCAATATCCCTTAATTAAGGAATATTCCTTAAATCATATTAGGGATCCTACTATAATTTAATGTATATTCCTTAATTAAGGGATATTGGAGTCTCTGGGCACTGACTGCCAACCCTCACAGCCCTAAGCATTTAAATCTCGAAAGCCCTTGGCCCAAACCCTAGAATAGGGCCCTCAAATAGCACAGAAGCAAAAACGAGGATAGGGATATCCCATATAAACCCCCTTATAATGAAGCTTCTGCTTATGTGCTTTTTGGGTCCCTAATCCATACTGAACTTAGAACCCTAGCAAAATTATGATTTTAGCTGTTTCTTAGGGATTAGAATAACCCAAAATTAAAAAAATATTTCTAAGTACCCCTAAATAAACCCTAAACCCTAAACCCTAAAATTGTTATTTTAGCATTATTTCTAAGTACCCCTAAGTAGTAGAAACAAGCCCAGCAACCACAATCTGAGTCGACCTTCACACCAAAACGTGCCGCCCAGAGACTCCAATATCCCTTAATTAAGGAATGCCTAGGGTTGGGATCTATAGAGTTTAGGGTTTAAGGGAGTCTAATATCCCTCAATTAAGGAATAGACCTTAAATTATAATAGGATCCCTAATATGATTTAAGGAATACTCCTTAGTTAAGGGATATTGGAGTCTCTGGGGAGCTACTATTTGCTTAAGAACCCCCAAAAAATAAAAAATGATGATCCCTATATTACCCCCATAAGGAATATATTTTTTTATTTTTTGGGGGTTCTTAAGCAAATAGTAGGGAGAAGTCCGTTGAAACCCCAAGCTCTCAATGCATAAAAATCCTGAAAACTCCTGGACACCAGGACTCCTACGCCCGAAGCCCCTGTTTTACGGTTTAGGGTTTAGGGTTTAGGGTTTAGGGTTTAGGGTTTAGGGTTTAGGGTTTAGGGTTGAGGGCTCTTTTCCAACCCTCAAGAAAGAGACCCTCAAGCAAAAAAGAAACCGGGCTTCGGGCGTAGGAGTCTTGGTGTCCAGGAGTTGGGTTTAGGGTTTAGGACCTGCAACTCCAGACCCAAAACCCTGAAACTCGAAATCCTAAACCCAAAAAGGCCTGAAAGGCACCCTGGTAGGAAGCAAGATCCCATTGCGCAGCTCTGAAAAGGAAGCCTAAGGCCCCAACACCCCCCCCCAAAAAAAAAAAAAAAAATCCTAAACCCCCCTTAAACCCTAAAGCCAGAAAGTCCATGATACCTGATACCCATAAATGGGGTTCCTTTACGGGTTCCTTTAGAGGGGTCCTTTGAAGGGTTCCTTAAAGGGGGCTGTTTCTATTCACCTCTCAGCCCTTGTCCACCTAGGCAAAAACACCTCCCTGAGACAACGGCCACGTCCGTGTATTGAAAGCCCGGACCTTCGGAAAAGTGGCACTTGGGGGATTTCTTAAGGGTTTAGGGTTTAGCATAAGGTTTTATAGTGTCTGAGGGAGTGTCATTGCAAACCTTTCCAACCCTGCGAAGCCCTATGAGGAGCCACGCCTGTGTTGTGCGAGTAGCCGAGTAGCCCTGAAACCCAAACGCAAAATCCAAAAACTCTGCAGCCCAACACCCTAAACCCTGAAGTCCAAACCCCACGCCCTAAGCCGCGACTCCCGATAAAGACCACCGAGAGCGAAGCGTTACTGCAGAACTTGGCCTCCCTGGTATGAGTAATCTAGACGGAGACGCTAGCAACAAACATATGAAACCCTCTTCGAAACCCTGGAAAACTCTGCAAAATCCTGTCAGCTCCTATGCCAAACCCATAACCCTAAACCCTAAACCCTAAACCTTAAACCCTAAACCCTAAACCCATAACCCGCAACCTAGACCCTCCCTACGCCACACCTTTGTTGTCCAGGTAGACCTTGGCGAAAGCAGCCAGTCCGACGCCGTCCACGACCTCGGCACCCATGTGCCTCGGCTGGGGGAGCCCTTTTCGGGTGTCGGGTTTGGGATTTCGGTGGTTCGGGCTTAAGGTTCCTAGGATACCCAGTAACCTAAGAAAAAAAAGGCCTCTCTTTTTGGTATTGGGTAACTTTATAAGGAACCTAGGACTACAAAAAGGGAATAAGGGTACTACTGGGCATCCTAGGGTTCTGAGTTTAGGGGTTTAGGGTTTAGGGCCGGTTTGGTGTCTGGGGTTTACGGTCAAGGTTGAGGGAGTTAGGACTTGGTTGGTTTATAGGAGTCTTAAGGGCGGTGGTTTATAAGATGATTAAGTGAGTTATGAAGGGTGTAGCACGGTTGCATGTCTTTCCTGTTGGTTTTGTACGGTTTGGTAGTGTGGTTCTCCCACTGGCGACCACCAATTATGGATGTGGAGCTGCAGTGCAGTGTTGGCAGCCAGGAAGGCGTCCACCGTTACATCAGACTGCCACAGAACCCATCGTGAAGGAAAGCTCCTTCAACTGTTTAGGATCGGCCTCCTTAAGAGTGCAGGGGTTTTCACTTTATGGATCAAGGCATTTGGGTTGCTAGGCTCGGGGCTTTAAGACTTTCGTCACCTGGACCTTTCATTTCCTCTTCACAAACATTCGGCTGATCATCGCCGTTTCAAGCGCGTCGCTTCTTGAAACCCATAATGGTGCTGTGCCACACATACACGTGTTTCATTTGTCTTCGCTGATGGAAAGCCCTGACCCACTAACCAGACTGGAACCCCTTCACGCTAGACCCTGAACCCTGAACCCGAAACTAGAACCGTAAACCCTCCAGAAACCTATGGAAAAACCCGTGAGGCACTGTCAAAATCTACAAACTACAAGAAGCCCTGTTCCAAGTATTCAGAACATGTATTCAGCTCTAAACCCTGCAAAACCCTTGTCAAACTATTCAGGACCCCGTATTGTGAAACTCTACATGAACCCAAAGGCTCAATGGTTTTGCAACAAACGCTTTGGAACGGCCGAAGCCAGACTGTGCCAACCTAGAAAGCCAGGCTGTGCCAACATAAGACTCATGCACCAAAGCCTCCAAAACTGCCAATAAATGAAGCTTTGGGGACACTATCCTATAACTACATGGTCGAACCCGAAGGAATGCTGTCTCAATATTGCGGCCCCTGTTATCAGAGTTCGTAGTCCAATATAAACCAGAAACCCGAAACCCTAAACCCATAAATCCTAAACCCATAACCCATAAACCCCCAACTCTAAATCCAAACCTGAGGCATGATTTACTGGCGGGTTCGGGGTATTTGAAAGATTCATAGCATAAGGAACCTTACTTGGAGGATCATGGGACTTAGTAAGTAGGTTATAGGTGGGGTTATAAGTCCCCTAAGTGGGGTTATCCTAAGTATAACCTACTTATAACCTAACTTACTAAGTCTCATGAGCCTCCAAGTAAGAACCAGTAGTACTCGCTACGAGCGCTTCTTTATCAGGGCCTGGCTCCTCGACACTAAGCCCCCAGGCTCTTCAGCTTTCAGAACACCGACGGAAGCCCGAACCTCAAGACCCGTTAACGTAGGGAGCTTGATAATCAGACTAGGGTTTGAGGTATATAATACTATACCCATATTCGGGAATCCCCAAAACCCTCTTCTAATTATTAACGCCTTACATCAAACGGTCCCAGACTCAGGTCTTGGTTGTCCAGTATCCTAGCGGAACTAAACGTTATCCTGTGGTCTTATGTTGCACCGAAAAGCTTGTATACAGGCTACCTACTCTACTACTAAGATATCCTTAGCTCACTGGCCGAAAATCCAAGGAACTAAAAGTTGAAACTTTCAGAATCGACTACCTTATAAGAACCACAAAAGTTGAAAAGTTGAGTTTACAGCCAATAAGTTAACCCAGCCCAAAACCATGAGTCTTCTTAGGTCCCCAGCCTTGATGTTCATTGAAAATTCCTAAACCGATGCGGAGGCTGTGGGGGTAGCTCTGGTCTCTGCGCAGCTGAAATGGCGGAGCATGTAGGACCAAATATGGCTATCCCGGCGTCCCCAGGACCTAACTCAGGTGCTATGCATTGCGGTGCCAGAATCTGTGGCTTGATCCAGCGAGGCAGTGCTTGCAAAAACGCCGAAGTGCTGAGCGTTCCAGAGCATGGCTGAGAACGCGAAGCGGAGCATGCGGCACCGGTACACATCAAACCGGCGCTTTGCCTTGCGTTGCAATGCCTGTCTCCATGCCACAAAAACCGATGCCAAAGTGAGCCATGCCCAAGCGGAGCGAGGCGTCGACAACATGGCGATGCAATGCTAGGCCTCCTCCGCTTCTAAATCCCGAACCCTTAACCAGAAGCCCCTAAACCCGGAACCCTACACTCTCATTTGCTTCCAATTCCATTAAGCCCTCAACCCCGAACCTCTAGTGACACATGTATATTGCACCCACACCACTTGAAAAGGCAAGACGCCCCATCGACTTGTCGCACAGGGTTTGGTGTGTTGTAGGGCCCAGGGTTCTGAGTTTAGTACAGCCCTAAACCCCGGCAACCCAAACATGCGAAGAGCGTGCAATCGCTCACCACCCAGGGCCCCCACTCTGCTATTCGGGCGAGATAAGCTGTGAACTTGCCTCTCTTGCAATGGCTCAGTAGGGATTCTATAAGGCTTCCAGAAGGGTTCTATAGGGCTTTCTTGAGGATCCTTGGAGGGCTCTATACGGATTCTAAGCTTTGCCGCTCTTGCAGTTTGTTTGTTTTCCTGTGTGTCGAGGGTTTAGGGTTTAGGGGTTTAGGGTTTAGGGTGAGCATGGTTGCTTGATGGGTTTAGTGGTCCAGGTCATTAGGTATTGACAGGAACTAGAGCATAGTTTAGGCTGTCTCTGAGAAATCTCTTGATAGTGGCTTTGGGTGTGAAAGAAAAAACACAGGACGGAACGAGCCACTAAGTTGGAAAATGGGGAAGGCAAGATAAAGTTTCCACACATATAGTAATTAGAGGCTGCACAAGGGTGCGATGACATACTACTGGGCGATCTAAATGCACCCTGACTAGGCGTGTACTTTTGATCTTTTGCACGCCCACTAGCTAGATTTGCCTAGACTGTAAGCGGGTTCATGTACCGTTGATGGTCTAACTGGGCTTTCCCTATCGAAAACCTTGATAACAAACAGGGTTTACAGTAAAAGGTATAGGGGTTGGGTTTGGGATTTAGCGGCCTGGGACTCGTGAGCCCTGTGAAAGCTTAAATTGCGAGGGACGTTGTGGGTGCGTATAAGCTTTAAGGATCAAGAAATCAAGCGGTTCCTGCATCAAGCGCGTAGTTGCTGAGTCCCCTGGCCCCAAAAAGCTTATATAGCCCTCTGAGTAAAGTTGGAATATAGCAAGTTTAGAGACTAGAGATACCTACCATCTATCTCTATCTATCTCTGTCTATCTCTATCTATCTCTATCTATCTCTATCTATCTCTATATATACATATATATATATACATATATTTATTTATTTATTTAAATGTATATATACACATTCTGAACTGAATACCGCACTGGAACAAGGAATCCCAAGCCCCGAACCCCAAACTCTAAAGCTTCAAACCCCAAGGTTTAGGGTTTAGGGCTTACTTCAATCCACGGATCAGGGAACTTCGTTAGTAAAGCTTCATGAATGCCTCAGTTGGGGTTAGAAGTAAATTAAATGTAGGTATCGTTACATTACTTATCACTCTACTCACTAGGTCCCCTGATCTGCTACAGAAGCGAACTGAAACCCGAAAGCAGAAACCATCATACAACCTTTGGAGGAAAACACAAATCCCAAGCACTAAGCCTCCAACCCACATGTAGTGCTCGGAAAAGAAGATGTACTATTTCTAAAAATCCCTCCCAAAACCCTGTTCCGACTAGTCAGGATCCTACTAAACCCCAAACCCCTAACCCCTAAAAACAAATAGGGTTTAGGGTTTAGGGTTTAGGGTTTAGGGTTTAGGGTTTAGGGTTTATCGTTTGGGCTCTCAAGAGACGCCTTCGTTGTGGAGGCCACTGATAAGGTTGTAGCCCAACTCCGACAGCGGAACCGTGTCCTGGAAGGCAAAACTAGAGCCCAAAGCCCTTAGGTTCTTATTCGGGAATTGAAGGGTTTAGGGCTTCAGGGCTTAGGGTTCAGGAGTTACCGTTGCCATAATAGAAATCCATAGTAAATAATGTGATGTCTTTGTGGTGGCAACTTAGAATAAACCACTTACAGGAACCCAGCTTATGGTTTAGAGTTCTAAAGCCGAGGGCTTGGGGCTGAGCGTTTAGGGTTTGCGGTTTAGAGTTGTCGGTTTCCGGTTTGGGTTTCAATGCAACCGTAAACTTCGTGAGCCTGCAGCACCCTTGCAGCAGAAACTCCTACAGTGACCTTCTGGTTCGCTGGAGCACTACCGATAGTGTCACCAGGCTCCGACATACAATTTCCAGAGGACCGGGGCTGCCCAATCCCTAAACTCAGGTTCCTTGAACCTGAAATGCTAAGCTTGAAGCCACCCTCAACACTAAGCCCGACACTCAACAGGCCTTACAGCCTAAAATCTCCGGCCCAGAACAACAGCTACACAGAGGGACTCTGTCAATACCGTGTTTCTCAGCTCCCTCTTCTAGAGGCGCGATTGTCCTGCGATGTGTTTGAGGGTCCGGTAACCCCCCAAACCCTGAAACCCTAAAACCTAACTTTAAACCCTAAACCCTCAGACCCTAAACGCCTAGTCCGCTGAAGCTCTGCCTCCGTTCCAGGCCAGCAAAAACATAGGTTTGGAGGTGCAACTTATCTTGGCAAGGTACATGGCCTGAAGCCCTTATGAAATCTGATGGAATCCTGTACGACCTTTGATGACATATATGTGGATAGCTATATACACCTACACACACATGGACACATATATATATATATATATATATATATGGTATCCCCCCCGAGTTATCCACCCGTTTGGGCTCTGAGTCCTGTGTGTCTGAGTCCGGTGTGTCCTGCTCCTTCCGATTGCAGACGAAGCAATCTCTTTTGCTGTTGCCCAAGCTCTTGTTTTTCTGATTCCGTGCCCTGTCTGTCTCAAGATCTTGGAGACGGCTTGAAACCGGCTTAAGTTTCAAGCCGGCCCACCGAAGATTCAAGATTCAAGATGCCCCTGAGAGTTTTGACAGGAATCTTCAATCTTGGATGGGCCGGCTTCAAGCCGCGCAGTTCCAAACCCACCCGGCTTGAAATGGCTTGAAACCGGCTTGAATTTCAAGCCGGCCCATCGAAGATTGAAGACTCAAGATTCAAGATGCCCCAGAAAGTTTTGACAGGAATCTTCAATCTTCGATGGGCCGGCTTGAAATTCAAGCCGGTTTCAAGCCATTTCAAGCCGGGTGGGTTTGGAACTGGGCGGCTTGAAGCCGGCCCATCCAAGATTGAAGATTCCTGTCAAAACTTTCTGGGGCATCTTGAATCTTGAATCTTCGGTGGGCCGGCTTGAAACTCAAGCCGGTTTCAAGCCATTTCAAGCCACCCAGTCCCGCATCGAAGCTTCATTAGCCATTTGAAGCCATCTGCTTCCTACTCAGCAATCTCAAGCCGCGCTCATCCACAGCTGGCCAGCTTGAACGGCGTGAAACCGGCTTGAATTTCAAGCCGGCTCAATTCCCTACATGGGGTTAAGGTTTAGGAAATTTAGGGAATTCCCTAAATCCTATACGTGGGATTAGGGATGAGGGAATTTAGGGATTTTCGGGAATTTATGGAATTCCTTTCATCCAAGAGATGGGTGCGGAGGTTAGGGAATCTAGGGGGAGTAAGCAAATCTTTCAATCCAACACAGGGCAGGGTTGCTACGAATAAAAATCTTGATATACATAATCATCTTGCTACTAGTATTTAAAATAATGCTAATACTAGTACTGACATTGATTTTCATAAGAACACTAGTACTCTTACGAGTTCTAATAGTCCTACTATTCCTCATACTAAAACTGATGGTAATATTCACACCAAAACTAACACGAATGGTCGTACACGCACAGATGTGAAAGTAATAGTAATGTTAATACAAATACAGTTACAAGTAGTAATCTACATACTAATGCCAAAAATGATACAATTACGAATACTGATAGCAGGTACTAATACTCATATTCTTATAGACTAGCCTCAATACTTGTTACTCATATTACCGTTATTCGTTTTCTACTGCTAACATTAGTACACAACTTAACACGAATACGCAGGCTAATACGAATATGCATAATATTAATGCTAATACGAGCATAAAAGAAATGAACAATGACATGAATACTCTTACGAATACTAATCATCATGGTCATATGTATATCAGTATAAATATGAATATATACCAATAACTAAACAAGAATATGCTAACTTACTCATAGACCAATATACAATATACAAACATACGAATATACTGATATACTGATCTAGTATACATTTCTTAGTTGTAATAGCAACACTCAGAACTAACACCGTTATGCTGCACTAATCCGATTAGTAAGATCGACACTTATCACGATGATTACAAACACAAAAAACAGGAGCCTGTTCTTAACACCTCCATCGAGCCATCGAGATAGTAGATTAGTAGATACTGTCCACTTTCACGAAATCTATCGCTATTTGCGTGGTTTTCGGCGTCGACGTGCACACAAGTGAACACTGAAAGGTTCCAGGTTGGTCTTGGGGGGTCTTTATGTAGAGCGGGCGGGTGTGTGAGCAGGCAAGGCCGTGCTCCGCACCGCGGCCCGCCAATGGATAAAGAAACGGCTGCCCGTGGGAGGACCCCATGTAGAGCGGGCGGGTGCCCAAAAAGGGTAGATAACCCAGGGGGGGTAGCATATATATATATATATATATACGAATGTACGTATGTATTTACATATATATATATATATATATATATATGTATATACCGTAGTTTTCTTCTGTATGAATGATGCTGCAACTCCAATTCCTACGTCCCCGCGCAACTCTCCCCATAACCCTAAAACCAGAGAGAAAGGGAGGACAAGAGAGAAACACACACGCACACACCAGTAAAATAAACCCTACCATACTCCCTCAAAAATAGGAAACATGCAACACCAGCCCGCCGCCGGCAGGTTGGAGATGATCTGCGTCTTCTTTGCGTTCAGGACCAGCCCCTTTTTGAAGAGCTTCGAGACTCGAGTAGTCTAAGGGCCTGCTCGAGCCAGGCACGGTTGTGGCTCCACAGGTACTTGGAGGCTCATGGGACTTAGTAAGTAAGGTTATAAGTAGGTTGTACTTAGGATAACCCCACTTAGGGGACTTATAACCCCACTTATAACCTACTTACTAAGTCCCATGATCCTCCAAGTACGTGTCGTCCATGAACCCTGCTCCCCCTCGTGGGCTGGGCGGCAACTTGGGGTCCTCCCCTGCTCTGCCTACGATACCCAGTAACCTAAGAAAAAGAAGGCCTGTCTTTTTGGTATTGGGTAACTTTATACGGAACCTAGGACTACAAAAAGGGAATAAGGGTACTACTGGGCATCCTAGTCTGCTGACCCCTGCATTTCCTTGAGCACTTCATCGATGGTCTCCCCGGTGGACGCGGTGAAGACAACCGGGCTGTCGGGGGATCCCTGCCTCACCCCGTTGGTCTGGGTGACGTCGACTCGGCCCCCGTAAACCATAAACCCTAAACCCGAAACCCTAAACCCTAAACCCCTAAACCCTAACCCCTCTAAACCCGAAACCCTTAAACCCCTAAGCCACCACCCCGCTCAAAAAGAAGAACTGCGCCCCTCCCTCCCAATGTCCGGCTGCGGGAGGCAAAGCTCCTCCCGGGGCTTGGTCTTGGGATGTGAGTGCTTTTTTGTTTAGGTTTTAGGGCTTATGATGGTGTAGGGTTTGGGGATTAGGGTGTTCTCGTCGTGAGTATTAGTTGTTTAAGGACTCACTTTCAGGGTTTAGGGTCTAGGGGTTTCGGGGTTTAGGGTTTAGTATACTCCTGAAGCTACTTGTCGAGTGTCGTTCACTGTTTCTTTGTTCTTATTGTGAGTATGAGTCTGAAGATTACTTTCACGGTTTGTGGTAACCATGGTTGTTCTTTACGCTTGACGGGTAACATGCGTAATAATGAACGCTCTTATGATTATATTCACTATGCTAAATATTTACTACCCTCACTTACGCCGTAACAAACGTAGTTATTAGGAAGAAAACGAAGTACTATGCCGGAATGGTCGTGTGCCCTGTCTTTAAGGTGGAGGGCTTTAGGGTTTATGTGTTTTCGGCTTGCCGGCGTCTGCAGTTTCCCTAAACCCTAAACCCTAAACTCTAAACCCTAAACCCTGCAGTTTGGGCTTTGGCGATTCAAACCGGGCTTTCGGTTTAGGGCGTTGATGGCTGCGGGGATTTATTAGGGTTTAGGGTTTAGGGTTTAGGGTTTAGGGTTTTAGGGTTTAGGGCTTAGGGTTTAGGGTACCAGACACCCAAAGTTCCACCCCCTTCAGAAACACTACTCCTCTAAGAAGTAAGAACTAAATCAACAACTAGTTTGGAGATCCTATTGTACAGGACAACACAGAAAACAACGAAGCATTTCAAGGAAAACGAGAAGTTCTATCGGCTCCTCCAAATCCAGCGGGTGCCCGCCAAAAGCCTGTACAGGGTGGACGAGTTTGTTGTTGCAAACCAGGTCAGGTAGCATAAGGGTCTATTCAATGGTGATGTTCCCTATTATACCTTGTCGATAGGCATAGTATAGGCATCGACTCAAAACCCTGTGCTAACCATTACCAAACCTAAACCCCTCAACCGGAACCCATGCAAGCACTTGAAGAAATCCTCCCAGATCCCCTTTCGGGGATCCAAAAACATAGATCCTTTAATGGGGGGTTCCTACCCTTAGTAGCTAGGGTCCCAAAATAGGGGATCTACTTTTTAGATCCTCCTGGGGGTCTGGGCTTACAGGCATCCTAGACCCAACCATCTTGCTAGCCAAGAGGATGAGTTACATCCTCAGCTCGTTTCTCTTGCACCATCCTTGTAGCAGGCAGACCTCAACGTAGCAAAGGGTAAAAAACACTGTGGGGTTTTTTGCACTAGACATCATAAAAAAAAACACATATCCCTCTGGCACCATTGAAAAACTTATATTACCCGGACTCACTGGGACTTGCATGGCCTCCTTGACCCAGGCCCCTGATAGGGTAAGGCATGTAGGGTTTAAGTTTCGCATAGTACCGCTGAAGTACAGAGTCTTCCTCAGAAATTCGAAATTCGACTTGGAGTCACCAGCTTCCTTTAAGGCCGAGGATGTGGGGTTACAAGTACCTGAATGTGGTTTCTAAGCAGATAGACCTACGGTTCCTTTGCCCATAACTCTCCGTGCTAAGTTCCTTGATCCTTCAAACAGACCCAGATCGGAAAACCTAAACCGTTTCGTTTATGAGAGGGAGGGGGGCCGAACGCTGCACGTCACGGTCCTTCTCGGGAGCCCCGCGAATTCACGGCCCAGCCTCCGGCCTGTCCATCTTCAGGTAGAACTGCTAAGCTAGCAGAAAGTGTTCAGGCAGCCCGTCTTCTTCATGTATGCCTTGTGGTGGCATGTGTTGCATGGACGTAGGTCCAGCACACATGGCTTCAATGTTAGAGCCGATCTATGCGCGTCACCCACAAGGCGACCTGCCACAGTATTGGCACTCCTTGGAACTTGCTCCCAGGTGGATAACACATGGGATCTCGCGAGACGATCCCACGCGGCCAGGAAGCGCTCAGCAAAGTGGCAGGCGGTGATCGCGACGCCCTTCGTTCTGGCGGCGTTCACAAAGCCCTCTACCCCTAAACTACTTGAACCGTAGAAGGGGAGCCTGCGTGCGTTTTGGATGTGACAAACATGTTCCCGTACTGTCCTTACAAGGTAGGCACAGCATCTATGCTTTTGAGACCCATACAACAAAAACCATGGCCTAAAAAACAAAAGCAACAAAAACAAGAGCAACACAGTTTCCGAAGTCCTTAGAGCTTGAGTTTTTGGGGTTGAGGCTCTACGGGGAAGTCCAAAACAAGAGTGCTAGTTGCTGCGATCCCTGACCCACAGAAGGTAATTAAAGCTTTCTGACTGTGGTAGGCTTAGCTTTGCGCAACAAAGTCAAAGGCTGCAACACGGATAATAGTTGAAGCCTGCACCTTTAACACCATCCCTGTTATGAAACCCCAACATAAAAGTGCGTAAACGTACTAGGCGGGGGCCAAGCTGTTGAATGCGGGATCTGCAAAACCCCAATGCCGAAACCCGAAACACCAGACAAGAGCGGTTTAGGGTTAAGGCTCTGGGGTTTAGGCTTCGAGTTCAGCAAACATAACGCGACACAACAGCTCCCAAACCATGCAGGCAAAGCAAGCACGCATCCTTGTTAATTAACCCAACACCGACCCCGAGCTCCCAAAGAGTTAATCCGTGAACGGTCTACAGCTGCCTCTGCTAGGGCTTTGGAGACGTCCACGCCGTTGCTGGAGGCCGGTGACAGGCACCAAACAGTGTAGGTCTGCTTGTCCAAGAAACCTGTGGTAAGGTCTCGGGGTGCTGGCTCAGGATTTATGTTTAATGATGTGCGATGTGTCTGTTGGTAGATAGCCGAGAACCTGCAAACCGTCTTCCTTGTTCTGCCTCTGGATCTATGGAACATACAGCAAATAGCCTAAGTCCCTCAAAAACAGTGCTTCATTAGGGCCCAGTCTAGACAGGTACACGGAGTCAGTTCTGAGTAGGGCTAAGGGGAACCTAAGGACTTTTGTAAGAACATCATATATATATATATATACATATTTTCATGGCTATGGATTGAAATGCTCGACAACCTTACATATAGAAAACCTACAAACCTTCGGTTTAGGACTAGGGTTTAGACTTCCCCTCGCCGAGCGGCGCATCTTCGCGATGGGATAGCCTGGAGTCGCAAGTCAGAGAGACAGAGCTATCGTTTCGGGTTTAGGTTTCCCGCTTCGGGGTTGATACGGTTGATGATATAAATCCTGCATGACCCATAATAAGGAATATACCATAATTCCCATAGTTTAGGGTCCTTAAGGTAATGCAGGATTTCTATCATCAACCGTAGGGGGTTCTCTCGGGTTCCTTTAAACGGATCTACAAGGGCCTCTATAGCGCTCCTTTAAAAGGAATCTATGAGGGCTTCTATAGGGTTCCTTTGATCTGTAAGGGAGTTCAGGGTTTACCCTGACCCTAAGGAACCTACACTGTCCTCGCGCAACTAGGGGAAAGCTTAGGGAATCCCAGCACTACTTACTCATCCCACATCCATATTCCAACATTCTGGTGTTAACTACAGGGTGGAGCTGCACAAAGACTTTCCTGTCTCTTCGAGCCGGAGCACCCAAGCGCTTGTCAGTGCTTCTTTGTGGGGCAGAGTCTAAACGTCAGGGGTTTCAAGATTACACGGGTTTGGCGGCTTGGGGTTTGGGGGACTTGGAAAGTAGGGGTATAAGTACTTTAACTCGGGTTCTAGGTAGATTTGACTTTCGCTACCTTGCTCAAAACCCTACTTACTTAGTCCCCTGAACCTCCAAGTAGCTGAAGGCTCAGGTTCATCACAAGCTGTCTAAACGGAACATACACAAGCACACTGACTACTTAAACATGTTGTAAAGACAACACCCAGCTGTTCAAAAAAACCGTCATCTCGAAGCAGATCATAATACGCCTAAGAAACCGCTGCAAGCATCTTTAAGTTTGTTACAAACCCCAACCAAACAACCCTGCAAAGCCCCCTGACACGTCATCAAAACCCCTTCATCCTAAGCCCTGAAATCCGAACCGCTAAACCTCAAACCCTCCAACCCTGAAGCGCAAACACTCTAGTTACCCCAACAATACCCCTAGTTACTAAGTCCCATGATCCTTTAAATAGAGTAGGGTTTAGGGCTTAGGTTTGGGGCTTCAGGACGAGGCAAGGCGAATCCGAAATTCCATCAAGAAAGTCTTTTGCTAAGGGCTTAGGGTTTAGGGTTTAGGGATTAGGGTTTAGGGTTTAGGGTTCGGGGTTTAGGGCTTAAGGTTTAGGGCTTAGGGTTTAAAGGTTTAGGGTTTAGGGTTTCATGGGCTTCGGGTGCAGAGCTCTGGAGTTAAAACGTCTCGGATCCAGAGCTTGATAGTTTAGAGCCTGGGGTTTAGGGTCTAGGGGTTCAGGGGTCTAGGGTTTAGGGGTTTAGGGGTTTAGGGGTTTAGGGGTTAGGGGTTTAGGGGTCTAGGGGTTTAGGGGTTTAGGGGTTTAGGGGCTTCGTCAACTTCTTATGACAAGTTACTGGACGAGTTTCACCGGAACAGTTTGCTAGAGATATAGAACTTATAGTATTTACAAACGAGGTTACTGTTTATCCCCGAAGCCCTAAACACTAAACCTTAAACTCTAAACCCTAAAACCCTAAACCCCAAACCCTAGACCTTAAACTCTAAACCCTAAAACCCAAGACCCCAAATTCCTTGAAAGAACTGCCGGCGGAGAAGCCTCCGAGCTGGAAAGCACCGAAAGCCATCTCCGAGCCGCCCTTCCAGTAGGCTACCTGGTACCTTGGGAGTTTCTCACTGGCCGAAAATCCAGGGAACTAAAAGTTGAAACTTTCAGAATCGACTACCTTATAAGAACCCCAAAAGTTGAAAAGTTGAGTTTACAGCCAATAAGGTTTCGCTTCTGCGAGTGTCTAGGGGTGTTTGGGGTTCAGGGTTTAGAGTTCAAGGGTTTAGGGTATCGGGTTGAAGGTTTCGGGTCTCGAGTCGTGGGTTTAGGATAGAGGGTTTAGGGTTTCCTTTAAGGGCTCCTTGTGACGAGGTCTACGAGGGTTCAGATAAAGGGTTTGGTGTTTAAGCCACAGGTACCTCTTAGGGGCTTGGGGTGAAGGACTTGGGGGTGGGGATTATGGTACTAAGGTAGGAACCTGATTAAGAAACCTTGGGCCTTTATGGGGTTCCTTGTATGAATCTACTATTTTGGGGTTATAGGCCCAGGGTTTCTTAATCGGGCTCCTACATTATGGCTTGCATTACAAGGGCCTTAATCGAGTTTGGGGTTTTTTATGGTATAGCTAGAATCGGGAACACGGAGGAATACTATTACTTGTTGGTTCAGGCTTCCCCAGTGGGTTTCTGCGCGCGCTGAGGTGATACAATTTTATGGAGGTTTAGCACTTTTGATTGGGTTTGTGCAGTTCTGCATTCAACCCTCTACCCTAAAGGTTTGCATAGGTTGGCGGTATAGGTTGCACCGTGCTCTTGAGGGTTTGCAAAGGGTTGCCGGCAAGGCCATACACGGGACATGACGACTGAGCAGGAAACACAACGGACTAGCCGAACACACCGCATCGTACCAAGTGGCTGCTGGAAGAGATGGAGCCACAGCTCTTCGGAACATCCATTAAAGAAGCTGGTCCGCCTGCTGGTTCCACTTCTGCAGGTCTTTTTGGCCGGGCGCCCGCCTGAGCTTGGCCGGTCGCCTGTGTCCTTCCGGTTCGTCCGCTTCGGACGACGAGCAGCTGCCACCCGGAATTCTTGCATTTCTGTGCAAGAATCTAGTTCCAGCTGCCATGTTGTGGGGAGATGTCGCAGGAAGAATCCAGTTTCCCTTGCCATGGCAGTTGAAGTCAACTTGACTAACAAGAACTCAGCTTCGAATTTGAGGTTTCGGAGGATTCGGGCTGGAACAGGGTTGGGTTTAGGGTTTACGGTTTATGGTCTTGTAAGGATGCCGCATTCTAACTGTCAAGGCCCCCCCCTTTTCTGTGAATCCTCGATTTTGTGAATCCTGGATCCTGGACCCCACAAAACGAAAGAAAAACAATAGAACCCTTGTAAATCGTATGGAGCCCGGTGATATAGGGGGTTGTATAGCTAGAATACGGGCTTGGGGTATGTGATAGTACAACGGGAGTAAATTCCTCCAGAAAAGTATCAGTCAGTTAGTTTTCACCGAGCCTTTTCTTATTCTTTGCCTAAACCCACAACAACAACGCATTGAAACATAAACCCTAAACCCCAAAACCCTAAATCCTGAACCTTACACCGCTAACCCCCTGAAACCCAAACGTTTGAATTTGTGCACCAACGCCACAGACAGCGAAAGCGGTGATTTTTATTTGCTGGAATCAATTCGGTAATTGGCTAATTCGCTAAGGATCTCCTGCGTTCTTCTCGCATGGGACGTCCGATGACATCTTGCATAAGCCCCGAAACCCCTACACCCCTAAAGCCCTACAGTGCTAAACCCGAATAGCAACCTTGTCGGAACCCGTATAGTGACCCTTCAATAGGGCCCCAAAAAAGCACAAAAGCAAAAATTAGGATAGGAATATCCCATATAAAACACCTTATGATGAAGCCCAATAAGGTAGGGATATCCCTATAAAATGCTTATGTTTTTGTGCTTATTTGGGGGTCCCTAATTCAAGGAACTCTTGTGGTAACCCTAAATAAACCTCGCTGGAGCGCTCGAAGAAGGAGATCCCCAGGAAAAGCGGCATCTCAGCAGCGAGCTGGAGCACGCCCTGCCGGTGATCCGGCGTTTACGGTTTAGGGTTGCTGGTTTAAAAATTCCCCAAACCCTACATTAACCTACCAGAACCTACTTTTTTGTAGGGTCCCCATGAATCCCATGGTAAGGTTAATAAGAAGCTACAACAAAGTAGGGTTTAGTAGGTCTAGGTATGTAAACCCTAAAGCCTGAACCCTTAACCCAAAACCCTAAGTTTAGACCCACAAAAACCAGTGTGTCGGGCCCCTTCTTTGGATCCGTAAAAGTTTCTGCAAGTTCCTTTGACATTTCCGTTTAAGATTGGTTCCTGTTAGAGCCTAAAGGTCTGAAAGTCTAATGCAAGAATCTGATGAAGCAACCCTGGCCTATAACCAAACAATAGTAGGATTCATATAAGGCATTCTAATAAACGCCCCAAGTTTTGTTATCAGGTTCCCGAAAACCAAACCTTTTATAGAAGTCTAGAAAGTCTCGGATTTACGGTCTAAGTTTGAGCCGTCAACGGTGAACGCCGGTCCGGAACCCGCAACATGAACGAACTCAACATAGGTGGTTTTCAAAATTAGGGTTCTTTTTTGGGTCCCTATTAGGATACGGCACCGACTATTCAAGGTACCCAAAAAGGGATCTTAATTTTGACAACTACCCATATGTAAAGCCTAAACAAACCTTCATGTAAGCTCTGCCCGGTGGAGGAAATCAGCGCTTAGGGCTTTTTGCAAGATCACAAGGCACCTAAACACAACATGCCGACAAGGGGTAGGGTACAAGAGTGGATGTTGCCGGTGCATTTTTGGGCCATAGCTTTGGGGTTTGTAGTTCGGCCTTGAACATGCGGGGCCAGCGTGATCGCAACCACGAACAGGGGTGCGGGTGAGAACGTCAAAGCAAACCCGTGATGAATAAACCCTCAAGTGTATACTATATGCCGCCGTGGCGGTGCATATCTTCGATGAGTGTGTCAGTAAGCAATAACGCAATGTTTGTTACTAAACATCGTGGTAAACCACGATGAGCTTCTTGTTATTATGCGGTAATGATACTATTTCGGTGATTGTGCTTGTAACAATGTATTTATTGTTTGCTTCCAAGTTCCCGGTGGTCTGGTGCTAGAGAACTCTGATACTGGCTAGAAGGCACAAAGCACATGCAGGTTCAAGAAGCAAGCGAGAATACGGTCAGAAGGCGTCATACTCTCTTTCTTTACGGGAAAGTAGGAACGCCATCATATGGATTTATCCGGTAGGGGGGTTTGTTCATCAGGTGTTTGCAATACCGAACTCCCAAATTCTACTCCCTAAGTCCGAAACTCATCAAACCCAAAGTCGCAATCCGTAAACACTAAGCCCCTAACTAAGCCCCTACCTAGATCGTACATCCTAAACCCTC